CGCCTGTCCGCGAAGAAACGACTCAAACGACGGAGCCCTGAAATGTCATCGATGCATATTTCTTGTGTGCTTCGCCAAGCTCAGGCGTCGCTACGATGCTCTGCTTCAAACGAGAGCAAGCGGCAGCGGAAACAGAGCGGCCCAATTTTGGGTGCAGAAAAGCCAGCGCCGATTTTCAGGTATTCAGGAGATGATACTTTAGTTTATTGGGCACCATAGCCGTTCGCAATAATCAGCGTTAGTGGTACCAGTGACGGATCGACGAGCCTGCTTTTCGGGACTTCTAATCGACCCACTTCTGAATAAGCCCCGCACAGGTGCTTGGAGAAGAAGCGCACATTAGCTGAAGTTGAGAAGAAGCAAAGACCGTAATCGCCTGACAGTTTCTCGTGCTTGGTGCATTCTGTGTTGCGCCGCGTTTCGTCGACGAAGACGATTCTGCCAGTTAATCGGGAATTTTATACCACGTAAAATTTTTATTTTATGATGCCGACGTTAGTTGTTCTGATCCACTTAGCGTGAGAATGAGGTTTCACAATCGATTTTCAAACTCGGAGGTACGATTGTGCGTGAATCAAACCGCTTACTCGAAATTCTACAGTTTCGCTGTGGACCATTCTATAGAAATTTGTTAGACGCGATTATCCTAGGCCACTTAGGCAGTAGGCCGACTTCGAACTGCGTAGTTCCGTTTTCGAACCTCAAATAATTTCTCCCAACAGCTGATTTCTTTGTGCAAGGAATTCATGCAATGTTTCTTCAGCGCAACCAGCCGAAAAACGGATTGGCAAGTCGCTGACTTGAGAATAACAGGAGAGCGTGGCGTTTTGCTATGCTTATGCTGAATTGGACGAGAGGTACGACCATACCGACTGATGTGATTCATCTTGATTTGACGGAAAACTGATCATGCAGAATGATGTTACCACGGACAAGTGGCACCTGTTCCTGCCCATAATTTCAATAAATCAATCAAATAGCTTGCTAAACGTGAAATAGCACGTAAAACTAGCAGCGTCTGACATTAGGAAATCACTCATCCAATAAAATGCGGCAGAACAGACACAATTTACAATAATGAAATAAGAAATAAATTAGGATGAAGAGGAAACGGATTGACGCATAGAAAATTTACGCAAATGACTATCCAAATGCACGGATTAGCATGAGAAGATCGATTCGAGTAGATTCGTTTTTGCCGTTTTTCGTTCCGCAACGTTTGAGCCATTTGCGGGACAACAGATGTTAGTTATGCTTCAGTTTTTGCATACGTACAGATACATTGCGACCTAGTGAAACGAAACTTAGAAATGAGTTCTTAAAGAGCCGGACGCGAGGTATGGAGAGGATCGGTTAGAACAGCTTCACTGGCTCTACAACAAATCCTATGGTCTGATCCACCGCGACGTTAATGATATTCATAGAGAACAGCTGACGTGAGCTGCGACGATTTTCAGAACTGATCGAAATTTAAGTAAATCCCCTATACGTGATTAAGACGAGTATTAATGTACGCGGGTCAAGAAGCCAAAACGCGCGCAGCTTCATCAGACCAGTGAGATTCAACGGAGAAAGAGGGGGCCGCTTGGCGCACGTTCCATCAAGGACGTGTTCTTAGACAACGTCAGCACAGAACCCGGCGGCCACCGCTTCAATCCTGTAATCTTGCCAGCAATGATGCGTATGGCTGTGAGAGATGATCGTTCATTAAAGTCGTAGAGCGCCAGCCACCTGTCGTCGAAAGAGTCATTGAAAGAAAATTGTCGGTAATTTCCCCAGGAGTGAAGGACGTCCTGTCGAAAGGCACGTAGCCTGGCTCACCGAAAGGAGATGGTGGGCTTGACCGCCGACTGGTACCATCAGTGGGCGGAATCTTCCGCTTGGTGGCTACCAAGACAGTGGGAAGATTATATGAGGAGCATGGACAGTGGCGCTTGGAAGGAGGGAGAAAGCTCGAAACCGCAAGGAACTGGGCGGGCGCGCGTTGAGGCCGAAGTGATTCCTCCTCACCAATTACCGATCGGTACAAATGATCAAAGTAATATCGGCTAATCAAACGCTACACTTTCACAGGTTAGAAGAAATATACAGTAAGCAAAGTGGATGTAAGACGCCATATAGCACGTCAGTTTCGTTTCTACTTATAGCTCTTTGACAGCTGTCAAAGCATAGAGCGATGGTTGCAAACAGCCGAGTCATGAGAAAAAATGAGGTTGTTCATTTTTTTCAGATGCCTTCCATCTTTTGCGCCGTGGTTGATTGACTGAATGACGTAGGCCTAAATTACGGCGTAAACTACGAAAAGATGACGCTACCGCTAGAAAAGCTTTCGGGTTACTGCGAATTACATCAGCTAGTTATAAATTGTTTCATAAATAAATAATTAACAAATAAATGCACATTCTTTACGTTTCATAACTGACACATTTACGATCGTCCGTTTCTGCACTTTAAAAAGGAGAAACGAAAGTGGCCAGGCGACATTGCACTTTACGTTCGTTCGCTCTGTTTATTGCATAATTCCTCCAGAAAACGTAGGATTGAATAACGCTAAATAAATGCCTTTTAATATTCAGATTAACGACGACTTCCCTTCTGGTTGGCTTCCAGATGAGGCGAATAGTTTTTGCCTTCTTCGCCGTATTCATGCCTCGATCAAATTTCCAAATATTGCGGTGAACTTATAGAATATTGTAGGGTATAATAGATTATAGTGGGCTGCCATGGCACAGTGACAAAGAGAGCGGCCTCGAAATTTATCTTCCTTGCTTATTCCACTGAGCACAAGATTCACCTCATGTTGCTGCGGTGCAACCAACCGAGAAACAGCTAGCAAGCCCATTCGTTGAGAACAGCGGAGACAGCATGACATTCTTTTGCGGTCATGGCAGACTGGTCGAGATGAATGGCAGTGTGAACGTCTCTTGCATCGACATTTTGCCTTGATCCACCTCATAACTAGCTGTTCAGCATGACAATAGGCACAAGGCGTAAGACATGTTGTCTTTGAACCTTGTTGCTATGATAAGCATGTTAACTGAAATATAATATTTTGTCACAAGCGGGCAACATATCATGCGTACCACCGAATCACAGTTCGACCGAACCCGGACCTGCCAGAACCTCCTCAGCCAAAAAGACCTGGCTCAGTGGTATGGCAGTTATGTGCTAAGCTTGAATGCGATGTAGCCCTAGATGCATTCTTTGCTCTTCCTTATCATTATTAAGACAATGAAGAGGATATACTTAAGCACTTCGCTCTGAAGCGATTTTTCTACACTATCTTTCACCAGGTAAACGATCTCATGGACTATGATTGACTTGAAAACCTTCGTTTATCGCGTTAGTGGCATAGAATCATAAAGGAATATAATAAAAGAATGCAAAAGTTCTATCCCAGCAAGAAAAACCTACAGTATGACATTCATAGCCAATGTGTGCACTGAGTTTTCCGCCTAAACGGTGAGCACTGTCACAACATCAGTAAAATACAGTCCAAAGTCTAACGGTCCAACTTCATCATCCGTCGCTTGATCACATGGATGAGAAACCGGCTTTGCTTTTGCAGTGTTTTCGCAGTTCTCTGTACAACCCAAGAATGGCAAATGCAAAGGATAACCCTGGTTTTTACTCTTCTTGCAATTATTAATAACCCAACGATAACCGATCTCATCGTCCTGCGGATTTTCGTGATCTCTTAATCTGATGTGCAGATTCATTGGATACAGTAAACGGCCCGTAAGAAGACGTTCAGATCACTGGCATGGATGAGAATCGTAGTGATCAGAATCTTGGGGCCAAAGCTAGTGGACGCCGTCATCCAGCGGTCGATCGAAAACACATGATGGCACATCTTGTAAATCGGTCAGTAAGAATGCGTTATAGGAAATGGGTCAAAATAAAAATCCTCAACCATTATGCAGCATCAAGGTCGATATAAAGAGGGTTTTCGAAGGCCATTCTTGATCGGTGTCCTTCTCGTTAACTGCATTGAAAAGTTGCTCCGTAGGTAAGTAGTCATAAAGTTCTAGGATTCAGTAACCTATATATTAAAATATTGTTCCGTGTAGCTGCTTCACTTAATTAAGCATATTTGCTTTGCATCAAGTCATAGACCGTTTCGACTGCAAATCGGACTCGGAACCGAGAGGTATTCCAGATTTCAGCCCCTGTCAGAACACTCGTCGTTCTTCTATCTGAGGTTAATGAATGAGTAACATTCTGTGGGAAGGAAATAGAAGGCTATACACTATGATTTCCACATAACTGCCTTTGACTCTGCCTTTGAAAAATAAGGCTCCCCTGTCTGATGGCATGGAAATGGCGATCAGCACCAAACCATAAGCTTCGTGAAAAGAAGGGCGCAAGAAATGGTGAGGAAGGTCTATGTTCAAAAGTTTTCGCACAATGCCTAGCCTCAAGTACGTTGGCCCAGCGTTACAACCGAGGGAAACACTGGAACGAACCAATTCGATTACCCGTGCTGCAGACAGTGTGCCTTTCGTTGATGCAAATCAGAGGCAGTGTAGAGAATCGGTTTGACTGTCTTGTTCCGGAGGGCACAAATGCACGGTTGGCGTCACACGCAGTCCAACACGGAAGCCGAATCCAGTTTACTCAAACGTTGACTACCACCCTTTTCTACTTTATGCTTGCGAACATATACGTTACTGAGGAGGACCTGAGAGGACTTCAGTGGTTCTGTATGGAACGCGAGCGACAGTGTGACATCAGATAGACAGACTGCAGGACGCTTGCCGAAGTGGGACGCCAAAAGACCAAAGGCCAAAAGCCCAGAAATGCATCACCGGAAAAAGCTACCCTCGAACAGGTACAACAGCTACCGGAAGAAGCAGCATCTCATTGAAGTGCTAAAACCGTCCAGAGAAGTAGCGCTCGGTATTAAATGCTCATTCTCGTGACAACGACTTCAAGAACGTCCGAACAAATCTGGCTACAATCAAATCAATACTTGACTAATCGCCCAGTAATGACGAATCGTTCGTCTGTTTTGTCCGCCATGCCTCGCTATTTACTGATTTGTTTCCTTCTTCTCTCACTGACCAAAGCCAATATGCCGTCAAGGCAAAACTGCACAAATACTTTACTAGTTCCGTGCCTTTTATCCGCTGGTAGCGATCAGCAGCTGGTCGGTTACCTGAAGCATTAACTCATAATCCTAAGAAACGTGGCACCGGCGTGATAAATGGATTTTTTTTCGCCAAAGTTTTTCTCGCCAGCCTTAGACAATCACATGACAATACAAGCAGGCCAGAGAGTACGATAATACTGTATCAGAACAGCCGCAAGAGCCATCCGAAATCCGTTACTGTGACGCATTTGTCACCAGCAGAAAATCCCTCTGGTAGCTGGCATAAAAACGATCGTGTGACTCAATCGACATAAGCTTCGGCGACGCACAACGTCACTCAATCCTCTTCACATGTCAATATATTAGTCTGCAAATATCGATTATGGTCGTTATGCTTTCATCAGGGATCGATTATCAAATGGCTTCGGGACGCATGTTTCGGTTCGAGCGAAGAACATGAGCAACGTGGCTAAATGCGTCTTCGATCTGAAGAGAATTTCACTCGGTCATAAAATTAGAGATGCCTGGCTTATGCGCTGTTCGAAGTTTGTATGACGTCATCGGCTGTTCTTGTCGGCACCGTCGTTCAGCGACGTCATAGCGAATGGCAAAGGAGCGGTGTAAAGCATAATAATTAACGCCTATAACTTGTCTAAAGCCTCCTTAACTGCTTAAACAAAGCTGTTCGCAAGTAAGACGCTTTTCGACAGCGACTAAATACTACCAATTGACATTTCACAGCCGAAAGAGCAGACGTCATTCACTGCCGGTTCGACCGGCGGCGATTTGGGAAGACCCGCGTTTCTTAAGTTGTTTCAACAAGACTGCGGCTTCCTCGACGACGACGACGACAAAACCAAGAGAAAAGTTTTAATTCGTCTAGCTTCGGTGTCTGCCCTTTCAGAAGTGCAATCCTCATCCACCTCACGAGGCAGGGAAACGAAAGTTTGCAACTTTCGCACGTCTGTCTTCTTTACAGCAGGATCCAACGGCTCTGCGCTAGCCTCGTTCGCCGTTTCCTCATCCAGGCATTCACTGCTGCATTTCTTTTTATATACCCGCATCATGGCAACGGTTTCAGCATGCAGTCCCCAGTTTTCGTTGTCCCCTCATTATGCGACCAAAGACAAAACGGCATTGTAAATCCGTCGGATTGTATTCCTTTGTCGCCTTTGGGCAACGAGGTAACGGTAGTGACAAAACTCCTCATTCCCTAATGTCAGGTTTGCTCATTTATTGACTCGTTCAGCCACCGATTCAGTCATTCGTCCATCCCATACTCACTAACTGACGATTTCACTTAGTCGGCAACTCACTCTTTCGTTAATCAGCTAATTAATTGTTTTTTTCATTCATTCATTAACTCGTTCATTCATTTTCTCATCCACTCACTCGCCTACTTTTTCACTTATTTATTCAGCCATTCATTCACTCATCTAATGATTCTTTCACTCATCGGCTCACTACTCTGTCATTCACTCTCCTTTCGTACATTCGTTCACTCATTGAAAAATTCATTCATTGATCTGTTGATCTGCTAATACATAAATGCATGCATGCATGCACCCATCCATCCATCCATCCATCCATCCATTTATACATACATACATACATTTAAACATAGACACATACGTTAGATCGTTCCTTCATTCATCCATTTGCTTATTCGGTCATTTACTTACTCAATAAACTAATCATTCGTTTATTCACGCACGTATTCATACATTCACCCAGTCATCATTCCACTCAATCATTTGTATGCTCAATTGAACATGCACGCATTTGCTGACTCATTGGTTCATTCAGTGATTAATCCAATTAATCATTTATTCATTCACTCAGCCATTTGTTCGTTTGCTATTCTATTGCTCAGTTATTTGCTCGCTCACTAGTCCGTTCATTCATTCATTATCTCGCTCATCGTCACGGCTTACAACGACATGACATTAAGAAACCTGAAGACGAGGTCTTTCGGGAAGGACTTGATTTTTAAGCCATACGACAGTCTACCCCTCCCGTACCCCACCCCTCCAGTGTGCAAATGATTACAAATCTTTCAGATACACGTACTTGGCCCATTCAGTTTTCTTTTCGACTGACTCTGTGATAAGTAGTCATGGAAACGATTGACAGCTGTGACCTAAGATTTAGGCAATGCGTACTCTGAACTCTGTGCCAGACACCTTGTTTGGTGCTAGAAAATTGCCGACCCATGAGGATAATATAATAAGCAGGATATTACGGAGACATGCATCAATTTCTGCATGCATTTTGTGACATCTTATTGCGATAATTAATATATTGGTGGAACTAATAGCATGCTCTACAACTTTGCCTAAACACCATGAAAGCGGAGGAATGCAATCTTACGCTTCAAAGCGTCAACACCCCACACACTGCACACCTAACCCTTTGTCTGATGTAGTAGTGCAGATTTCACGGGCGCAGACAAACAGCGGCATAACCAGTAGCATTTGGCCAACTTAAGGAAAACAGACTCTTCTAGTATCCTCATCGCAGCACTACAGTGTTTCATGCCACGCAGCACCTGGCCAATTACCAGGACAGTCGCCGGA